TTGAAAGGCATTAGATAGAAGGAAAGTCACCGACAGATACATCAATAGAACACATCCGACCAGTCACTACGTCCATATTAACAGGAGAGCCGCTCCAGTGCAAGAATAAACACAAGCTGTTACATTATTACAACCGCACATTGTCAGATGGTGCGAGGCCACTAATTACAATGATCGTGTCGAAAGCAGTCACGTGGACGGGTATAGAAAAACTAAGCGATAAAACGGGAGAATATTTTTACAACGGAGGAGTTGGAGGAGGAAGAGGAGGAGGAGGAGGATTAATGTGAAGGTGAGGAGGCCAGATCGATGCGAAGTGTCCGCGCCCATCCATTAACGTCGCCAGTTTTCTTGCCCACTTCACACTAACACGTATAATTAGATGGAATATGATTCTTTCCTTTGTTCCGCTACTATCCGACCGTTGGAGCTTCTCTAATGCTGTTAAACCCCGACGTCCAAGTAGAGAAACCATTTTCTTGGATGCTTTTGTTGACCGGTGCCGAGAATTTTCCAATTAGGCTGGGATTTCGTTTAATGACAGCCAACACAATAGCCTTTCCTGCCAACATACCGCACTTCAAACTTTTATTCCACATCGAGACAGCTGTCTATCTGCAATGACTGGAAAAGGAACAAGTATTAGACTCGGACATCTCATTCTCTGATAATTACTCCAGGCATTAAGAAGACAAATTCTTTTTTACACTCACTTTTTTCAACGAAACCAACCGAGCATTTTACTCATTAATATATAATTATTTTCTTCGTCCTTCCTTCTTGCAAATAAAATATTCTCTGAGAAAAAAAGAGTAGGAAAAAAAGTGTATATCTTTTCTACATCGAATCAAACTCCAAAGACAAAAACTGTTCCCCGAAGATGGAGAAGTTCTTTTCATTCGAGATGAAGATAGAAATCAAAAATTTTAATAAAGGTAAGTAGAATAATTAGAAATGTAAGGATTACATCGTAAAAAAAGAAAGTGGAGTGAAATTTTAAAAAAAAAAAAAGCATCGAAAAATGTAAAGTTTAGACGGAGAAAATCGTGTAAATCTTGAAATGTTTAATAAATTGTTAAATATATTTCGATTTTTCTATCAAAATTAACTTAATTCTAACTCGATATTATATAAATTTATTAAATATAGACATCTCGAAAATAAATTCATTTTTATAACATTTTTTTTAATCAAAATTCCTAGAGAAAAATCTTCTCCATCATCCGGAAAAGATAGCGATGGAAGTTATAAATTGTTCTTATAAATTTCTTCAACATGCAGAAAGAATCGGATGGAAATAATTCAGATATTAGAAAAGAAATCGTAGTACAAATAAGAATATTTAGCGAATATTTTCTTCTTACCGGAGGCAAAAAAACATTTCCAACTATTACAACTGTTAATCAATAGAGCGTTAGTTGAAGAAAATCGAAAAGAGGAGAAAGAGAGAAGAGTTATTTTCTGCAAACTTCTTTGCATTATCGTGCTTAGAAATCGAACTAAATTCCGATTGATCGAAAGAAAGATTATAAAATTTACATCTTTATAATCTCCTTTCTCTCTCTCTTTTAGAATAATTTAATATTTTATCAGAAATGACCCGGAACAATTTAAATTATTGGAAGATATCCGAAGATGGTTATACTTACGGAAAGAGCCAGGGCATTTCCAATAAAACCATTGAGAGAAATGTCGAAGAAAACCGAGATTCTATATACTCTAGTGTTTTATTAGAAAAGCCATTTGGTCATGCTTGATGAGATAAAAATCTCGATGGGACTTTTTTGATGATTTTCTAACTCCAAAGAGAGCGATCTTTAAAATGCAAAAGTTGGTCTTTCGCATTAAATTGACTGCTATTCTATGGTTTTTATAATAGTGTGTTGGTCGAAATACGTTATGAGCCTTGTCCCATAAAAGGTTACTTTTATCAAACTCGGAAAATGTTAGTTGTGTATTCATTGGACGTATTTTCTCATATCCGAATCGTCGTCGAATCGATGAGTTTTATCCTTCAGAACATTGCAATTCTCTCGATAAAATAAGAAGAAAATTCCCTATTTTTTCCCCTTGTAATCCTACAAAACTGTCGAAAATATATCTTAAAGATTTGTATGATTATATATTAGTTAAGACGATGGAATTATTAAACACTTATATATAAAGAAAGCACGTGTTTGTATTTAGGCTAATAGTCCATATCTGGAAATTATAATATATTCACAATTATAAGTTTTTGGTGATATTATAAGCTGAAAGAGCGATTAATTTGTGGCTAAATCAATTGCTATGTGTTGGAGAACGATAAGAGATAGCGCAAATGGGGAGAGAAATCGATACAAATATTCTGTATCAATCACAATTTAGATTCGTAACTTATTTTCAGAGAACTTTTACCAAAGGATTACGAAAATAAATGCAGTAACTAACTTTTTATCCACAAGGACTAATTCCTCGTATCCACACAATCAAATAGGTTTATTATATATTAAAATATAATTGTATTTCCCATCTAGTAGCTCGCGAATCCTATTCGAAATACATCACATCTTTACGCTAAGTGTTTGAAACGTTAAATTAATAATTATGAAAAACTTCTAGCAAACAGATTATACAAATTCCAATATTACTTTATACAACAGAGAAAAAATGTATGGCGATCGGTCAAAAATGACCCCCCAAGGTTTTTATATTTTTGGACCCAGGGGACCTCGAAACGTTGAAAAATGTAGAAAAAAAGTCGAGTTTTTTCTGTATTGAGAGCACAATTTTTTCATCCACTTTCAATCTTAATAACTCCTGTGCATTTAGTCGAAAATTCCTGAAATTTTGCAGGAAGATTTATGTATTAAATGGAAATGTTTCTAGAAATTTTCAGGAAAATTAGACCATTAATTCAGGAGATATAGACCAATCCCCTGAATATCTCCCGAACCAATCTGAAGTCTTATAAAGGTAATAGTAGCAATAATTAAGGATGAAAACAAATACAGAATGCCGGGAAAGCCCAGCAACAACATTGCCAGCTTTTTTTTACATCATAATTTCAGAGAAGAAAAAAAATTCTCAATCTTCTCTTATTTTTTTCATCCTTATAATTATGTTAAAATTAGAGAATAGAGTTTCCATTTTTAAAGTACTATAAATTCTTATTTTTGTATTAAATATTTATATTATAACAACAGAAATCATTGAAGATAATTACCAAACGCACAATAACGTTTGATCTTAATCACTATTATCCAGAATGTATCTTTAACTAATTTATCACACTCTCAGCAGTTAGCAGTCAGATTTAGTCACCACTTACAAGTAAAATTAATTCCCAATTCTATCGTAGATAACTTTTGCCGTTACTATATCATTAACAAAAGTTATCAATATAATTTTATCTGATAATCTCTTAATATTTTACTACTAAAAGATCATTTCTGTAAAGTAAATAACTTCATATCCAGTCAAGTTTATTAACATTTTTAAAATGTAAGTATCGAAAAATCTTCTCTTAAAACCATTTTCTAAACGAAGAATAACGCTTAAAGTAGTTATATTTAATGTATAAATTAGTTTTATTTCCTGTAATAAATAATTTTATCTCTAGACAATTATTAGAAAATGGGATACAATGAAGAGCGAAAATAAATTCATTTTTATAACATTTTTTTTAATCAAAATTCCTAGAGAAAAATCTTCTCCATCATCCGGAAAAGATAGCGATGGAAGTTATAAATTGTTCTTATAAATTTCTTCAACATGCAGAAAGAATCGGATGGAAATAATTCAGATATTAGAAAAGAAATCGTAGTACAAATAAGAATATTTAGCGAATATTTTCTTCTTACCGGAGGCAAAAAAACATTTCCAACTATTACAACTGTTAATCAATAGAGCGTTAGTTGAAGAAAATCGAAAAGAGGAGAAAGAGAGAAGAGTTATTTTCTGCAAACTTCTTTGCATTATCGTGCTTAGAAATCGAACTAAATTCCGATTGATCGAAAGAAAGATTATAAAATTTACATCTTTATAATCTCCTTTCTCTCTCTCTTTTAGAATAATTTAATATTTTATCAGAAATGACCCGGAACAATTTAAATTATTGGAAGATATCCGAAGATGGTTATACTTACGGAAAGAGCCAGGGCATTTCCAATAAAACCATTGAGAGAAATGTCGAAGAAAACCGAGATTCTATATACTCTAGTGTTTTATTAGAAAAGCCATTTGGTCATGCTTGATGAGATAAAAATCTCGATGGGACTTTTTTGATGATTTTCTAACTCCAAAGAGAGCNGTACTATTAGAGAGAGAGAGAGAGAGAGATGAATTTATGAAGGAATATTTTATGCTCCACTTTAGATAAAGTTAATCATTGCATGAATACTCAAAATGGAAGAAAATTATCTATTTTTTTTTCTTTTTTTTGATGATAAACTCTTTGGTATTTTTGGATTTTGTCTCGCTATCAGGAAGTTGACAGATAGGACTCTTATCTGGAGTATTCCTTCGATCATTGGAATCCAGTCAATTTTTTATAATTTTACGTCTAACTGTCCAAAATACTATAATATGTCTTGTCTTTCTGACATATTAGCACAGTATTTTGACGTTAAAGAGTAGATGAAATATTGTTTTTATTGCAATTTTACCGTTTCGTTTATATACTCTAGTCTAATACTTATATATAAAAGTTATATGTTATACTTTGATTTATTTAAAAAAAATAAAATAAATAATAATTTAATCGTTATTTATCAACATCTTTATTTATTATTTGTCAATGTTTTCACGCCATAAAATAAAATTCCATTAAACAAATTAATGTTTTCCTCTTTAACAAGCTCACGTAAATTAACCTAAATTAAATTGTATTATTAAATTTAGCTAATTTAGTTGTATACACAACTCGTCTTTCGTACTCCACCAAGAAATTTTTATAAATTTTTGTATGTTTAATAGTTATTTTATAATAAAATAAACATTAAAAATACCGTAATATTTACCTCCTGTGATAGTCCGAATTGGGGGAGAAGTTCTAATCAACCCCCAATGTAGAAGAATTAGAAATGATGCGAAGAGCTGCAAACGAAACCAAATGCGATGATAATGAACGGGTGCCATGCTCTTTATTACTGAAGATGGAGCATCTTTCTCATATCACCACTACAAAAAACAATGCAAAAATTACTGAGAACATCACAAATTAAAGGTCAAAATCGTCAAAAATATCATAAAAAATAATTAAATATTACAAACAAAAGGTTAAAGCCATTAAATACATCAAAAATATATCCTCAAAAAGTTAAATAATCTTTCATTTATATTAATACAAGCTGTATATATATATATACATAAAAATACGAACAAAATTAATTTTGAGTAGTAAAATATTTAAAAGACATACAGAAATAAAAATAAAAATAAATAAATATATAGACCTATATTTTTTATTTATTTATTTTTTTAAAGAATCAATAAAGAATCGCGTTCAATATTTTCTAAGATGGTCTATAAAACTTCATAGGAATAAAATAAGTTTTTTTTTTTTTCCTGTGATGTATTAAAACTTTATCGTTTCAACTTTAACAAAATTTTATAAAAAAATAAAATAAAATAAATGTTTAACTGTTAATAGCAATTCTCTTCTTTAAAAAAAATCGATGTTTACAGCATTTTTTTCCTCTTTTTTTCTTAAAAAAAAACCAGTAACTTACACCATACATAGAGTTTCTCTCATTGTAGAATGCATCTTGTACAAGGATAGAACAACTCTTTTGTAAAAGAGTTGAGAGAAGTAATACTCGGATTTCACAATAAATTTCTTAGAATATATAAATTGAAAAATAAAAATTGTATCCGAAAATTCCTCAATAAAATATAGAAAAATTTAAAATACACATATATATATATATATAGGCCTATACACCAATTAAATTAAACAAATAAGCAAACAAAATATAAATATTAATTAATATAATTTATTTTTCTTTCTATTTTTAATTAAATATTACTTTTTTTGCATACATTTTTGTGTATTTTTTTAAAGGAAAATAAATAGAAAATTCTTTATCAAAAATTTATATGAAATCGAATTAAATTTCTATCTAAATATTTTAAATGTAATTTGTTTTAAAAAACCATAAAATAAAGTAAGAAAAAAAATAGAATTATTAGTCTTAAACAGAATTAAGATTCCAATAATAAAAAAACACAATTTCTTTTATGAAAAAATAAAATAAATAAACGAAAAATATCAAATTAATTAAATTTATGACGTGAGAAATATTTTTCGATATTTTTTTTTCCTTACACCGAATTAAATTTAATAGAAGAATTATTTATTTGTTTATTTGTGTCAAGTTAAGAAACTTTTCTTCATCAAGTGTAATTATCTAGTACTTACCGTGTATAAACTGGCTGGAAGGTGTTAGGACGGCAAAATCTACGCTGCGAATGATCTAGAAAAGGAAATGAAACATTTTACCTTTAGTTAACAGTATGTGGTCACAACAGTCATTATTCTGTAATTAGTGCACTGTGTTCCATTACGCTTAATTAGCCAGGGGACATAGCCTAGTTAACCTTTCCTCTACACTTTACACTTTTCTAAGCGCTGCTTCGTTACATGCAGAAAACCCGAAACGAACACGTGTCAATAATCATAACATTGCTAATGTGCAGTAGAATTTAAATGGGAAATTCGAAAGAGAGACGTGCCAGAGGTCATATGAAATAGTATAAAAATTAAACTGTAAACGAGCAGCTAACAGAGGTCATACGATGCAAATAAGACGTGGAAAACGTAGAGAATTCAATGAAAACCTTTAAAAAGGTGTGTGAAAAGTCATTCGATGCGAGTAAGGATAAGTATAATCATACGGATCATACGATTCAAATATAAGAAATTAAGAGTTCATGAAATGTCGTACGATGTAAATAAGGAGAAACGTAAACATGGAAATCCTAAACGTATCATATGATGCAAAATAAAGAGAAATATAAACATGAAATCCATTTAGCAATTCATACGATACAAATATGGAATAATGTATAAATGGAAATCTTAAACGAGCGTGTCAAAAGTCATACGAAACAGATAAAGAAGATAGAAAACAACTGTAACTTTAAAAAAAGCTAAAAATATTACAGTGATTCTATACCGCACCAATGACAGTTCATACTGTATAAAGTCACTGCAATATTTTACATTTTCTTGTTAGGATCGTCACCATTCGAGATTTTCTTCCATCCAACTTTGCACTTTTACATCCATTAGGAGTGACGACAAAACTGTGGTCGAGACTCGGTTACGTACAGAACTCTTACTACCGATCATACATCTTGGCTTGGAAACTTCGTGTCTTCTTATGGGCAATTTACAGTAACAGCGATCTCAACTTTGACTCGGACCACTCCTTCCAGCTGTCGCAATCCCTTGGGAGAGATCCACTCAACTGTATCTTTAAGCCGCAATATTACTTTACAGACTGAAATGAACCCAGGTCTAAAAAAAAAAAATGTATATACTTTTCTATATTCCATTTATGAAATATCTACTCTAGAGATTATATATATATATATATATATATACTTTTTATATATTTTATTAATATAAATAAAGTTTTATGGTGTCATTTCGTATTACTTGCCATAAAACACATAAACGTCTTCCGTACAGAAGTGCAGACATTTAATTATTGAAACTTATTGCAGTTGCTTGGCGATTATAGTATTAATTATAATATATTCCATTAAATTCAATTATCCTAAAGTGTTATGTCTTATATAGATTTTAACCTATAATTTGTAATGTATAGCTTGTCGCACAGTTTCCATAGAGTGATGGCTCATTCTCTAATGAGAAATATAATACTATAGAATATAAGTTACATAAATTTTATATTTAAAATAAAATAAAGTTAGAAATATTACAAATAACTAAATTTTATTCCTTAAAAATGTGTTTTAATTTTTAAAAAATCATAAATGTTTATATTAAACTTTTTGGAAAATATCAAATAATTCAATAATCTTCCGTAAGACCTATTAATTTTACACTAATATTTAGCCTCATTTATTATAATCTATAACGTTTAAATAAATATATAATTGATTTATACTGTTGAAAATGAATTTTAAAAGTTAAAATATTAATAAAAAGAAACAATAATCTTATAATACTGTAAACAAGTATAAATTTCTTATAAAGTCCGAAATATTTTCCAAATTAAAAACTTTAATTTCGAACTTAATTATTTTATTAACTTGTATAACAAAAGAAAAGTGTGTACAAGGAACATCCGTCGATAAATTTCCGTTAAAATTTCCTTTAGACTCGTCCCAACCACGATGACACGTTATTATTGAACGTTTTAAATCGCCATTGGAAAAACAAAACTTCTTCCCGAATTTGGCAAGTAAACACCGGACAAAAATCACCAATAGAACACCTCCACATCAAAAATAATTGTGTATTTTTGCCAGAAAGTATTATTTGTATTGTCTGTATTAGAAAAAAATAAATAAGTTACCGATTAAACTGAATCAGGATCCACGTAAGGGGCGTTAAATTTAAGTGAAGGGCCTGATAGTATATTACCTAAAATAAAAAGGACACGGATCTCTTTCAAGTATATATCATAAAGCATAATATAAACAAGTTAATTAATTAAAGATAATAATTTGACGTTTTATGTAAAAGAAAATATACCTTAATTTAAGTAAGGCAAAGGAAAATTTTCGGCAAAATATAAGTATCAGTCTTCTTTCTACCCTGCATCGTAATACTTTCGAGATAATTTTCTAGTTTTTCATCTAAACAAGTTAATGAGCGTAATTAAACTTAGATAAGCTTGTTACACTGATGACCAGGTATCTACGGCTCAATGTCATAAATAATCTTATAAAATAAATAAGAAAATTTTCTATACACTTAGCGTAAATAACCTTCGTAACTAAACAGAAACTTTGAAGGAAAAAATAGCCTATATTTAAAAAAATAGACGATATTTTAGATAATTCGTACGTTTTTTACTATCATTAATTTACGCTTTTAATTTGAATTAAATAAAAATTCAATTAAAAATATTGTAGAGAGTCATAAATTAAAATTTTGACGGAAAATAATCTCTTGGAAAAAGTAACTCTTCTATTTCTTTCTTCACTGTTTTTTTTTTCTCCTTTGATACTCGGAGATTCCTCCCTTTGACTATAAAAATTAATTGATATTATGAAATATCTATAACAGTAAGCAGGCAAATGAGATGATTTTGTTTGTTGGGGAATGTTAATGACTTCGAAATATTCGATATTGAATTAACTAGAATTTATTTTTATTATTTTTTTTCGGTGGTCATATTATTTTGGGAATAACTTCAATGGCAAAAGTCAATTTAAGGTATAAACGATATAGTTTATTATCTCACAAATTATCCTATTTATAATTGATGCTGCTCTTAAATTAGTTCTATTTAATAGACCTATAGAATATATTAATTATTTTTATAAATAGATCTAAAAATTCACTAGTTCGTACGTAGTTTTAGTAATATTAAAAGTAGCTTTAATTGGAAAGAATTAACATTTCTGTTGCTACTAGATTCTAAACAGTAGAAAAGAAAATTAACATAAATCGAATATAAAGTCGAATGACTTAATCTATTTTATAGTATTAAATATAGAGTCTATTCTATATTTAAATGCGGGGAAATCCCAATAATGTGGGGCTGGTCGACTTTCTTCAACCCTTCTCAATTTAATTGTTATACCAGTCGACCACCTACAACACTGTTGATTATTCCGTTTTATATGAATTCCATGTTGTACGAGACACTTATATTTTACAAATACGTGAGCCGTTCACAGCCCGGTACACGTATTTGTAAAATCTAAGTGACTCGTACAACATGGAATTCATATAAAACGGAATAATCAACAGTGTTATAGGGGGTCCACATGGTTCTATGGAGGATTTTCAGTTGATAATCATACTTTAACGTGTTTCTTTTATTTCCATGTTATTTTTATCTTTCGTAATTTTGCACGAGATGCTTCCTTCACACCTAAATGAGAACTGCTAGTCAATGTTTAATATCTAGCTACGTAAATGTACTAACATTCCATTCATACTATTCGTATACGGAATGCTTATGAACAACTCTAGATACTAAATATGCACTAAATATATAAATATATACTAAATATAACTAAATATATATATAGTTTAAATCCGGATAATATCTAGATATAAACTGCTACTACATTACTTAACAGCCTACTAACAGATACTCCATGATTAATACAGTACTAAAATATCACTAATAATAATTTACAGTCTAGTCTATAAAATAAAATTTTAAAAATACAAAATTAATATTTTCGAAATTTAATTAATTAATAAAAGTAAAAGAAGTTTAGGTTAATAGCATTAAATATATTATATAATATAAATTTTATAGTATTAAATGAATATAAATCTGAAGTAAATTACTTAGAATAATTTTTGTTACAAGTTAAATAATAGAAAATAATCTAGTAAATCGGATTTTCGGTATAAAATTCAATTAAATAAGAAAATGTTCGCTTGTCGCTTGTAAGATTAAGACGTAAGTAACGTGCCAATTAAACTTGTATAAGAACAATTTGTTTACCAGTAAAATTCTTTGTAGGATCCGCAATATTAGGCACTTAATAGTATTAAAGGAGGAAAAAAAAATCTGTATAAATCAAAGATAGCGAGTGAACAGTCGCGATTCGTTTCTAACGTGACATAAGTGACAGTGTTATCGTACTCATTAATTAAATTCCATTCTAGAATTTAACAGAATGGATGGATTCTGTTGGAAGATTGACACAAAACGCTTTGTTTGTTTAGTCTTCATTGCAACTTTAATGGAGAAGAGCATTCCCTTTTCTGAATTGTGTCGTCAAGCGACTAATTAAGAAGCATACTCTTCTTACTTTCCGTTAAATAAATTAAAAACCGTCACTAAAATAATTAAAAAAGATTTATTTATTTAACAACAGATATTTAAACTCGGTAAAGAAGAAGGGGAAAAAAGAAAAAGAAGAAAACTGTCGAGCATATAACGAGGTTAATTTTCATGAAATGATAAATGTAAATATGTTTACTAAAAATTGTCAGTTTAAATAGCGCAAAAAAAAGAGAGGATAAATCATTGATTGGTTATGTAGTCGAGAAAGTTGTAATACAAGTCGTGTTGGTTGTAAGCAGACGGATAGTTCAAACAACACGATCGAATGCAGACGTACTACTTTAGTAACAAATATAATTACGTTGGAGGAAGAAAGTCGAACGTTGTGTCGTACATTTTTAGAGTTCATAGAAGTTGAACACGAATGGAATGAGTATTGAGAAGTCGGACTTTTAATGCATCCATTTGCTTTCGACTCATTAAGACAGCTGCTAGTTTACTTTTTGGAATCTTGTTTAAAACCC